TAGGCCATACTTTCCCTACATGAGTGCGCCAAAGTCAGGATTGAATGTAAGAATTTCGAGAGGAGATTTTTGGGGTCGATTATACGTACGAAGTCGCTCCTTTACCGCGCTTTGGCGTTCTACGACATTCAAACGCCATTCACATATGAGGACTAATATGTAACAATGGCGGATGTGAAAAATGACCTTTTCGAAACACATTCAAAAAACTGTCTTGGCGTCGAGAAAATTTTGAGAAAATACTTGAGATATGATCTTCGAGATCTGTACATTATGCCAAAGCCAAACATATCAAATTTTTCTGTGAACAAAACAGTTTTTTCAGCGTGTTTCGAAAATTTAATTTTTCACATCCGCCATTGTTACATATAAGGCCTCATATGCCTATATTCTCAAAGGTTTTCAGGCAACTTACACCGCAACATCCCTTCGTCGGAACGTCCCCGTCATCGCATTTCCTCAAGTGGTACCCAACTCTCGAATAAAATCTCGGAAAGAAAAAAACCTGATAAGATTACCAATTTTCCTAAAGAGTATTCCACGCGAGATCAGATTTTTTCAAGAAAAACAGTTTTAAAACGACTTGTCTGCAATGCAGCGGTGAGAATTTTCGGGCATTCAATTGACGGGTTTTAAGATCCGTACAAGTAACATCAGGGAAAGAAGAAACTTAACCGGGCTCATGAACTTCCGAATTCTGTCCGTTTGTGGATCACAACTCGCTCTTTCAAAGTTTTGATTTTCTTGGTTTTGATATTTTGTTTGATTTACATTGTCTTGGCTGAGTCTTACCGCAGTTTTACAGCATGGTACTTAAAATTACTCTCTTCAACTTAATTGTAGTCTTATGTGCGGATCAAAGTTTATCTTAAAAACGAAAACTCTTTTGGGTTTTGTTCATGTTTTTATTTTTAGGAGAAATATTGTTTGATTTTTACGTTAAAAGTCGCGGTTTAGAACATTATTACTTCGATCAACTTTCAACGACACGGTGATGGAATACATTATCTTGTATCTTTAGAGGATAACATCAGAGATGAACAGTTTTCATGAACCAGTGCAAGAATCTTTCAATTTTAATCATTAACGTTCTGATAAGCCTTGACTCGCACAACTAGATAGATGAGCTACGACTTTTTGTCACATTCATACTTTTAATAGAAAAAAAGGAGCTTTTCTTTGAAAGCTTTCATTCAAGCCAACAGCTCACCCCTCTCCCCTTCCACTTTGCTTTAAAGTCAAAAGGGAGTAATCGCCATCTCTCAAAATGTCTTTAACAACATTTTGAGACAACGCAACGGTGTCAAGTGTTCACCCTTTCAAGACTTCCTCTGACCGATCGAATTCTACAATGTGAACATAAAATTTAGGTCATTTTTGCAGGGACGTTTCTAAATCTTTCGCCTCTCGAGATATTGGCTCAAATTTTGGGTACAAAAAAATCAAAATTCATAGAACAATTTCAGTGGATTTAATACTGCCGTGCTGAAGAAAAACATCGTGTAAATGTAAACATTCGTGAGTCGCCAAATTTTCCCCGATAAAATGTTTATTTTTAGAAGAGCTATGAATAGTTTCTTTCGAAATTTTCAGACAATGAAGATCTGATTGCTGGTAAAATTCTCTGAAAAATTCGAAGAAAAATATTTTTAGATATGTCCAAAAATTCATATTTTATGAAAGGAAAGTTGGGAACGTCTGGAGGCTAATGCGGCGTTTTTCTATAGCACGACGAAATCAGTGAGTTTTGATTCTTTCGGTTCTCTGTCACATTTTCCTTGAACGGTCTCAAATAAAAATGGTCTACACTTTGCAGCTAGGAACTACGATTTCCGGCTTGTTCATAAGAAACACGTATGTTCACAGGGCAACTAATGGTTCATGCGTTGTTTTTAAACTAAGCCAGAAATTTTAGTTCCTAGTTGAATCGATCAGTCAGAAAAGGGCTCAAGCGCCAAAAATGAGAATCCGAGAATAATGGTAAAAACCGTTTTAAGTGATCCCTTATAAATCTCAGAGCTTTAAAATATTAAAGCAATGAATTAATCCATGATTACTTAATCTACGATTTTAAACGGGTTGGTTTTTACATTTTCTACTGGTTTTTCCGCATTTTTATATCTGGCGCTTGACCCCTTTTGTAACTGACCGATTCAATTGCAAAATACAGTCCAGAACCATGTCAGTCTAGGGAATTCATCAGCTCCTATGGGTGGATATGAAAGGAAAATAGAGTATTTCAAAAAGTGAGGAAAGTTTATTACGCTCAGTATCGGGCAATCAGACATTACAGCCAGTAATCTACCACCTCGTCCCATTCCACCCTACCTTATAAACTTGAAGGCAGAATGGCAGGTTTCAAAATCAGCTCCTAATTATTGTAGTCGTTTGTTTCATTAACATTCTTTCCATTTCAGCACACTTGGCTTTGCCTCTGACTTCAAATGTGTCTTTGTTTGTTGTGTGGTTTAATTAACTTTACTTGATCAACTGAATTTCTTCCTCCCATCCTTTGCCCTCTTCTTTCGATCATTTTGCATCTTGGATGGTTTTTTGAAGGCCCTCGGTATCACCGCGATTGAACGCACGCGCATTGTATACGCATCTGTATACGAATCCATACCTCCCATCGCACGACAAGAAATGTCGCACATGATTTTCTATTCTGTTACTGAGTAAAAATCTCAGACGATTCCTTTTTTCCCTATTTATAAGGGGTTTTTTCACTCGGTTTCTAAGCGTTTGGGAGGATTCGGAACCCTCAATCGGACATCATTTTGCGATTTGGAACTGCAATTTTCAGCTCACTTTAGAAACAACGTACGTGCAATAAGTTTCCATACGCAGATGAGTGTGTATACGAATGAGTCAGACTTCATAGTTCCTAATTGCAAAATGTAATCCAATTCGTTATTTAGCATTCTCGCCGTTTTTTGGTGATCATTCTTAATGGTGTATTCCTTATTTGATGATATTCTCAAATCATTTTCAAATTGCAAACTTTTTTATTGCAAAAAGTACACATGCTGTTAGTCATTCAATCATCGCGGTTATTTTGAAAACATTATTACCCTCGATGAATGTCTGCGAATTAGCTGATATGGACGTATTTCTGCCAAACGGAACTATCTGCATTAAGACATGAGCCCTCAGAGTCATAAGAATATATGCATAAGAGGGCTCACGTCATAATGCACATAGTTCCGTTTGGCAGAAATAAGTCTATGTATCATTTTGAGTAAGCATGCGCAAACTGAAAAACGACTTTTCAGCCCCATGCATTTCTGTCTCTCTCGCTTTGTTTTCGCTCCCACAGTTATCACGCACCTACGCATAACACTTTTTCTTTTACTCACTGGTTTTAAGTGGTGCATTGAAAAGAAAAATTCGCCTACATTTACAGCTCATAATTTAAAGGAAAAATCCAATATTGAGGATTCTCCCCAGTGTTTGAAACTCACCTTTGAGTTTCAGGAGCCATGTGGCCCATCGAGCTCGACTTTAAGGGGCCATCGAATATTTTTTAGGAGCCACATTGACTTTTTGCCTATATATCACGGCGCATTTGACTCCAAAAATTACCAAACAGAAAAATTAGGATTTTTAGGGGGGGATTCGGGGTTTTTAGGAGCCACGATGGAGCAGAGCCTTCATTTTTCAGGCGCCATGACCGATTTTTTGGGCGTATTTGGCGCGCTGGCGCCTGCGAGTTTCGAACACTGAATTTCGCCATCCCTGTAACGTAATTTTTCTACCCCCAACTCAAATATAATGTAATTAGCCTGTATGGACTTCTTAGATACTCGTGGACTCCCTTAATACCGCAGTTGGTTAATTACACTTTTAAATTTCCTCAAAGTGATGTCCATACGAATCAACGAAACATTTAACTTAAATCATAAGACACCAGTTCAACCTTTTTTTTTGTATCTTACGCAGGTGCTCTATCTGAGACTATCGAATCCCACCATTTTATTGATTCTCATTTAAAGAGAGATCAATGGAGGGTGAAAACAATTATCGGGAAAACGCGTCTCGGAGTTGTGAGAGGAATTTAACAATACTTCTTCTCCATATAGGATACTAGGAATCCATGAAATAGGCAGAAATTAACTTTTACCCTGCTCGGTACCTCTCGATTTTTCACCATGGCGAAGGAATACTTGGCAGTAGAATGTCCAAAACCTGCAGATTTACAACTCCGATGAGGGAAATTAGGTGAAGTCAGTTTTAGAATTAGCTTTAGGAGTTAATTCTCTTTATGATGCGACCTAAACTGGACGTTAAAGACTGCCTTGCGAACTTTTGGTCTGTAAGACGACTCGGTTCATCCATTTATACACTTTATATTATATAAAAAAATAATAAGTTATTTTAATAAATTAAGTATATACCAACTGAAAAATTGTAGAGGCTAATAAACGTGAGATAATTTTCAGACAGAGTGTTGCTGATTTTTTCAACGTTCGTAAATTTCAGTTCAAGACTGATATTTTCGTGGTAGAGAAAATTGCGTATCAATGCGCAAATTTTCTCTCATGTTCGTAGTAAACACATCTTTATCGCGCGAATACGCATTGTATTAGTTAAAAATTGTATTTCGGTCGTGGAATATTTGAAAAAAGAGGGTTTTTTGACGAAGCACCCGAAATTAGCCGGCGAAAGACCTATACAAAGTCAGCGTTAGTCCGGAACTACCCCCTTCCCCCCTTTCGGAACTTCTGTAGGCACCCTGTTATTTCTAGCGAGAAAACTGCGCTATGAAGCCTGCCCATCTGAGACGGCCGCATGGAGGCAACTAAACGAAGAGCAGAAACGCACGAATCAAGTGCGATAAGAAGTAGACTCAGACACCGACGAGGAATGTATCTCGAGGAGCCAACATACTGCAATACTGCATATGTCTATCTATTAATGACCTGTCTGTTTTTCCTAGAGATTGACCTAGCGCCGGGCGTGTTGGCGGCAGTCTGACTTGTGTGGTTCTTGCGTTTTTTCAGAACCATTTCGAAAGCACATATCTCATAATCACGTAAACGCAAGTTCTAGGAGAGACGTTCTGTTAGATCACGCCGAAGCCCGAAGGCGGAAGAAAATGGTTCACTTCGACGGGACCCACCAGAATTCCATCGGTAAAGATTCCGGGATCGATACGAGTAGCACGTTCACCTCGAGTGAAGACTCTAATTCTGTGCCCAAGGTACCCATCTCTCATACCGTTCACTATCTTACCGTAGTCAACCCTAGCTCCAACCTCTGTCCGTAGTTATACTCGTACATTTCCCCAACCAGCCCAACAGTTACGTTCAAAACTCACACTATCCCCCCAACAAATGGACGTATTTATGCTAAACAGAACTATGTGCAAGTGGAAAGATGCAGTGGAAAAGTGGAAAGTGCTCGTGGAAGCTGCATGAGAAACAATGTAAAAATGGATATAGTTCTTGTGAGAAAATGGAAAAGCGGGATATCCAATTCAGGGTTTTTTTTTTTTTTTTTTGGAAAAACAAATACATAAAGTTAACGCCTGACCTTAAAATAAACTTTTCTACAATGAAACGAAATTGCAAGTGCTGGGTCGCTTATGAACTCTCTCCTCCCCAAAAAGGAGGAGGATTACAATTTGCCTAACACAGTAGCGCAGTGTAGCACCTATATGTGTTTTCGGGTGACGAGAACTTTTAAAACATCCTTTGTACCGACCTATTTGTTGAGTTAAAGAAATTGTAGAACCGCATAATTAAGCCCTCCCTTACTTTGTGACCCCCAGCCTTGCTTAACATAATTTTTTGTTACTTCATGTGGGGATGTTTACAAATCTGAAATAGTTACTCGAGTACGTTCTTTGAGGACTGCGCCAAGGTCTCTATAATATTCAAAAAAAAAAAAAAAAAAAAAAAAAAAAAAAGAAATTCATCGCGCTACTAAAGTAACAAACATTTCATTCATCTGTTCCTCTAAGGCGCACTCTTTACTCTGTTCTATAGTCGTTGTAGACAAAACTAGATGACGAGTATTCGTAGCGCTCAATAATTTCGGGTCCTTTCCTAAACACTTATGCTGTTATAAAATTAAAATGAAACCTAAAACTTTTCATAATACACCAATTATATGTCCTATGAGTATAATCTCCCACCCCCTACCTTATCATAGTCAATTTTATCTCCTTCCCATTTGCTTACCTACAAGGTTTTGGGAGGTCATGTTTATTTCAACTTATATGTCCATATTAGTGACGGGAGTGCTTGGAAAATAAACCCTGTAACGACAATTAGGGGGGGGGAGTGGATTGAGAAGAAGTAAGAGTGCTTCATTTTGTTAACTGTGAGAGAATAGCCCAAATATTTAGTGTCATTGAATTCAATCCCTATTATGAATCCATTATAAGAATAAGTATATTTAGAACGTAAACTCATTCCGAAAGGTAGTGGCTGAAAAATTATCTTTTCGACTCGGGACAAAGAACGAACTGAAAATCCCTCCATTAAAACGCATGAATAGCGAATATATTAAGTTGTATTACGCCATCCCTTGTACAGCTGAGCCCCTCCTAATGCTACTAGCGCTTTGCTTTAATTTTAGAGACGCTTGTACAAATAGGCATTCGAGAAATTCAGGAAGCCGTTCTGAAGAAACGGAAAAAAACTTAGTTGCATTGCTTTTATTAGACATATTCAGCTAACACGTTCTTCGTGGTCGACAACTAGTTGATAGACGTTATCGGTCATCATGTCACAGCTGCTGATATCGAGTATTCGATACATGTGTTTTCATTTACTCTCATTGAGAGCATTAGAAGAGGTTACTTGCTTTTCTGGGTCCAATTCGGTTTAATCGCTGTATTTGGTAATGATTGTATCGAATTGGTTTTAAAACAAAAACAAAAAAAAAACCTCCTTTAGTGATTTCAATAAAAAATCATCTATTTTTACAACTCTAGTAGTCAAGGAATTGATGTATTTTAATCCTTGTGCTTAAGAGGAGATTGACTCGCATTTATACGGTTTAATAATCGTAGCCTTTGCTGCCTGAGCAGTGAAGTACACGAACAACGTTCTGAGACAACTGTACAGGCACGAGTGCCCGTCATTTTGCCGTTCGCCTAAATTGAAGGGACTCTGTTTACTCACGAACTCACCTGTCCCGTAAATTGACGTGTTGAGCACGGTAGCAAAGCATTATGAGTCTAATACAGAAATGTTTCCTTTCTCTCTTTATTTTTGTTGTTGGGTATCTCCAAAAGAGCATTATGAAGTAACCAAATAATTTCACGTCAATTTTTTTGTTTAAATTTTTTTTCCCGGTACTTTTGCTTGTGTATTTGTCGAAATCCAATTTCAAGAGGGGCGATATGCATTGTAATGGATTGAGAATTATTTCATCGTAGAGGAAGAGTGAGTTTAGTTTGTGGCGTGAAATGGCATCTCGATAACCTCAGTTTTACTAGACAAAAATTTCTCTGTATAGAAATTGTTATTATTTCCACAAATTTTCCTAAGAGTTAAAAATAATTCATCATGAAGCTCCGTGGCTTCAAATTTTCGGCGTTTTTCTTTCATCGGTACTTTTTTTTTGTTTATTATCGCTTGATATAAAACAGATACGTTTTCACTCACAATGAAAGTGATAAATTGAATTTAAGGAACAAGAATTATTAGGTCTTTAGGTAACAGAGATTAGCTATGATGAGATGAAATTTACAAGTATAAGAATTACTTAAATGAACTCGGGTGATGGTGCGCGACACCAGAATCCGCCTTTTGGCATACATCGGTAACTTCATCGGTACTCGACATTAGACATGTTTCGGATCAATCACGGGCTCTTCTTCATACACGATGCGAAATGCAATTGATGCTAAAAATATATTCAATCAACACCAAAACCCAGTTTCTTTGAATTTTACTTTTTATGATTTTTCAACATGTGAAGGAACACTGATCTTAAAGCGTTTACAAACTCGATTAAGTTGTAAGTAGGGCAGCTTTGATGAATACGCCCACAACGTCACCCGAATTAAAAATGAGAAAAAAGAGTAGGAAGGTCAAAACGTGTGAGTAGTACGGTAGTAGTAGAATAAGTAGAGTTCGTAATATTAAGGTGCCGCGCTTTGCTTCTCTGTCAAAGACGCAGAGCTCCATCTTTGCAGTTTAATTAATTCAATCAAATGAGTTTGAGACCCTGAGAGTTTTTTTTTCCTCTTTTTATTCGGATTCCTTCAAAATGAGTTTGTCGTGAAACCAGGACCTTGAATTAGAAGGACAGTCTCTGTTTTTATTAAGTGACGGGTAATAGGGTATCGCCGCGCTGGACGAATATTGAGCCCTGCATCGGAAGTGACGGGAAATAGTGCGCTAAAATGAACCATTGGGGGACTAAGGTCACTCGACCAGTTTCCAATTGGACGTATTTCTGCCAAACGGAACCATGTTCATTCAGGCATGAGCCCTGAGACCCATCAGAATGCACATAGTTCCGTTTGGCAGAAATACGTCAATTTTAAGAACGTTACAGCGATGAGCATAAAACACCGAGGTCTGTGTTCTAAGCCGAATGTCTGTTCCCTTAAAAGTGGAATAGTGGAAGCTTCCGCATTAGGTTGAGAACCTATACCACGCAAGGCTAAAACCTATTTTTGGACTCGTTTCCCAGTAGATAAGGTACAATGGTGTGTAAGCTGATAGGTTAAACAACTCGCCTACGCATTCGTTACGTGGATACGCATAGATATATGCACCGCGTTAAGCAGAAAGGAACCGAGCCACATCAGCCATTGCCAAAAACCGGGCAATTTAATTTTTTACAAGAGAACGTTTTTGCGGAATCCCTTGAAAATTTTGAAGAATTTGCTTCGGACTGTGCAGAAAATTCACTGAAATTTGCACAAAAATCCTCACCACCGTTTTCATGTAAGAAATTATAAGGCCTCATTAAATTTGGCAATAGCTGATGTGGCTTTGATCCTTTCTGCCTAACGCGGTCCAACGGATTGTATTCGATAGCGGTCCGATGTATCGTTTGGTTCAAAACAGTAGAACATAACCACAAACCAAAATTTTAAGACGTTTGTCAGAAAAGCTGATGAAGAGCAATTTCGTAGCAATTTTACTACTCTTGGCCAATTAGTACTGATGAAAATCCAAAATCTATCGCAAAAAATCCGTTCTTTCAGATCACTCGATTGACTTTCGAGGCTATGTTTATGTTTTGAACCAGTCGATATCGATACAATCTCACCCGTCTGATGTATCGAATACGATCTAAACGTCTAGACCTCGCTCATGGCTCTTTCGATGAGACGATAGGTAGGCAACTCGGCTTGCACGTAGTTCCGGGTATCTCCGTAATTTAGCGGGCTCCATGAATTTCACGCAATTTCACATGAAATCACTAGAAGTATCATCTCGTACTTTGCAGGAAGGCGTTCGATTCAGCGTTACTGTACATTTTAGGGGCGAGTGGGTGGAAAGAACCCGTAAATTCGCAGCGTTACGTAATTTACGTCGGGTCCTTGAGCGTCACGGATCCCAGATCGTTCAGAAAAATTAGCATTCCCCCTAAATCCTGATTTAATCCTGATTTTTGTGAATTTGAATTTTAACGAATGTAACTTCACAAAAATTAGCTCGATAAAAAAATCTGATTGGACGGCCGACTTTTCTCAAATCCTGATTTTACGACCGATTCTTCCTCAAATCCTGATGAAATCGGTATTAAATCCTGATAACATTCCCGCTTAATGGTAAAATACGCCTATTTCATGCCACAACATGGCAACGTCGGGGGGCATCCACGTTTTTCCGCCCGCGGATCGTAGTAGCTCGGAGCCGATTGGCACGGCGCACGGTGGATTAAGCCAATCAGAGCCGATCGGCTCCGATCTACTACTACGATTCGCGGGCGGAAAACCGTGGATGCCCCCCGACGTTGCCATGTTGTGGCATGAAATAGGCGTATTTTACCATTAAGCGGGAATGTNTAGATAAAATTGACGACAAGAATCCTACTTATGTCATAGATGTCCATTTTTTGCTCCATCGAGTGATTTGGAGACAAAATGAGGCATTTTCATCAAGATGCAACAACCACGTGTCCTACGTAAAATCGAAGTATGTTCCGCTAATTCTGTGATCGTTTTCGGCGGCTATCCCAAGGATACTATAAGATGCAGCACGAAAAGACCTGGAAGATGGCGAAGAG